GGGCTACTTGTGGTTCTTATAGTCTCTAAAAGTAGAACAGGAGCCAGAGCCTTCCGTTACACACTGATGCACAGCATTGGGAGCAATTCGGGGTTCAGTATCTTGCTCAAAGGTAATACTTCGACATGTGACAGGAGGAGCTGGGGATTGAACCAACAACCCGCTCTTTCTCTGAGCCACAGCCGCCCCTTAATGATGTGCCATGATGTGCTCGTGTTTCCCAAAAGAAATCAACCCAATCAGCTCGATGGTGGCACCATAATTGACACCCAAAAATGTATATATCTTTTTTTTAAGTTTTGTTTTGGGGGCTTTTTCCCTTTATTGGATAGGACAGCTGAAGACAGACAGGAAAGGGGGTTAAGAGAGGGGATGACATACAGCAAAGGGCCAAAGGTAAGACTTGAACCCTGGGCTGCTGCAGCAAGCACTCAGCCGTGGTACATGGTAAATAGACTGTACTTATATAGCGCCTTTCTAGTCTTTCGACCACTCAATGTGCTGTACACTACATGCCACACTCACCTTCATACACTGATGGCAGTGGCTGCCATGCAAGGTGCCAACTGCTCACCCGAAACTAATCATTCATACAGTCAATCAGTCTCGCTCAAGGACACTTCAACATGCAGCGAGAGGAGCCGGGGATACAACTTACAGCCGCCCCAGCTCTACCAGGTGAGCTATCTGGGCGTTCCCATTCTTTAAGAAATCGATTTCCAGGACTTTATCTAGGACTTTTTCTGGACAATACAGGACAGCACAAAATGGTGGTCAGCTGTAGGTGGTCATCATTTAACGGTCACTCCCTTAAATGATAGCTAACACACACTTAGCAAGCCAATTTTTCCACTTTCTGAACTGACTACAGTTTTCCACAGCATAGACTAAAAAACTATTTAAACATAGATTATTTCAAGAATATTTGCTCATATTAATCAATTTGTCATGTTTCCATGACTGGAAAACTAGCCTCTCAATTTCCAAGATTTCCCAATTTTCCATGACACATGTAAAACCTGTTTTGCAAAGGCCACAGCCCTCACACCATAAATCCAACTCAATGTGCTCTACAAAAAAAGACTACTGGACTATAAAAGCCTACCACGATAAATCTTTTGCTATTATGCAAAATGTGAAAAATAACTGTTTTGACATCGTCAACACCAAATCAGGTACAGTATACAGCATTGTGGTATTGAGGTACACATTAAAATAGTTTATGAGGAAACACTAAAATAAGGTGGAGAATTTAATAGAATTAAAATCTTGAAATAAGAAATAACCCACTTGAAACAGTGTGGAATATTCTTTTATATATATTCAACACACCAACACTGAGAAAAACACACAGATCAGATCAGAACAAAAGGCAGAGCCGCAGTGTACCTGTACAGAGAAGGCCGTCCTTATAGTAGAGGGCGTATACCCGAGCACTGTGGCCAATGAGGGACGATGTCTCAAAGGCCTCCTGGTCGTTCAGCTGCATCATGCGCAGTTTAGCCTTCAGGTAGACCCCCTTCCAGTGCGTCGCATCCTGAATGGACTCGTCGATCCTCCAGCCCAGCTCCCGACACACACCCTGCCACACCTCTGTGCATGAGCTGATCACCTATAAGGAGACAGACGCTTGTTGGAATGTGGTTGAATGACAAGTACTTATAATACTAGAAAAAGTGAGCTGCTATACACTACTGTAATATATTATTTTTGGGCTCTGCCTATAATATCATATCAGGTTACCTTCTTCCATTCAATTAATGATCAGTAATTCTTCTTCTTATTATATATACATATCAGAAGAAATACATACATCATATAACAGTTTGCAACAATTGGTATAAAAACATCCTGTAGCTCTGTAACTTTTAATACTACTAAAAATATAATAGCTGAGTTTCTTTACAAAGAGCAAAACAAAATAAAACACCAAAATCATTTTGGTACCCTATTTTGAAAAGGGGCCAGGGACCATCTGATCAAACAATAAAAGCCAAGTGTTTTTTGTCTGAAAATGTCACAGGTTTAAAATTAAATACAACCTCATGTTGTGCCAATCATGTTTACATTATTAAAGCATTTTTTCGAGTGAGAGCGACAGAAGGAGCAGACAGCTTCTTTATCCGCAGGTGGGACTCTCCTTGTTCTTGACACCTTGGACCCAATTACTTTGTCTTTGTCTACTTTCCAGTGAGAGGAACACAGAATCATCCTCACTGCGTGACAATTCGTTGCATGTTGTGAATTTTGCGAATAGAATAGACCGAATAGAATAATAAAATGCAATGGACTCAGCATACAACAAATTTAATTGGATGACAGATTTTTAAAAAAGCACCCATAAAATATGGACTTTATGTTAAGTACGTATATAAGATTACAAATCTAACCAGACCATTTACAGCACATTTTAGTCAATATCAAAAAAGTAAATTCAAGTTACCCAGGATAACTAACACTTAAAGGAATCTTACATGCACCAATGCAACCTGTATAAGTTCTAAACTGTGACATTTGTGCAGTAGCATCACTGAGAACGGAAATCATGTATAGTCATTGTAAAACATCAACTGTACATACTTGTGACCCCCACCTTCCCTCTGAATTACATTCTTATTCTTACTTCTGCTTCCCTGAAATCTTTTATGCTACTGACAAACGCCTTTATTAGAAATATCTCAGTGATTGGATGACGTAGCTGACTTCAGCTGTTCAGTTAGTCCCAATTTCAAAATTTTCATTCAGATTTTTTTCCAACTTAACATAGAGCACATGTGTTAAACTACCCTCTTTTTGTGTCTCATCATTCAGGAATATTTAAATTTTCAACATTCTTTAGACTATAATTTACAACATTTGGGCTTGTCATCGTTGTCTGCTGTCTTTCAGTATTTAATGCATTTAAATTACCCATAGTACCGTACGTCTGGTTGTAACTATTCTGATGTTCAAGTATAATTCATCGATTCCATTTTACCTACAATGTTTAGGGTACTAAATTATTTCTACACACCACCATATCACCATTTAAATGTAGTAT